AAATTATTAAAAATCATTTTGCGACTACTTGGTCGGCTGGCTAAATAGCGAACAAATATTTCAGTAAAAAGGGCAATTGAAAGACCTAATCCCAACAAAAACGCCCAGCGGTAATGAGTTTTTTTAAACTCTTTGAGAACTGGCTTTCCGATGCTTGTCATAAATACATCAGACATAAAAATATTAAGAAGTACCTGGCAAACACAAATCACAGCAAAAAGAAGGTTACCATTTTTTAAAATAAAAATTAATTTCTTAATTCTTGCCTTATTTTTTCTTTTCTTTACTAAATCTATCTTAAAGAGATTAACATCCGAATAGAGTGACGAAATGTAGTTTAAAAAGAAAGAAAAACCAAGCAGGAGAAAAAAAACTATTATAAGGGAAAGATGAGAGACAAGTTCACTAATTTTCATGGCTGGAGTTAATTTTTTAGAGTATTTTTTTCAAATTGTTTATCGTTTCTAATTCTTGGTCCCGGAGAAAAATGAGGTTGGGAATGTAAGCAAATTTTTTACTGCGAACAATTTCTTTTTTTATTAATTGCAAATATTCCTTATTCAGTAAATTAAGCAACTTTTCGTGGTTTCCCTCTTGGGCAAAAGATAAGTAAATTTTTACATTCTCACCACGAGCACTTATTTCACAATAACTTAAAGAGAAAGAAGGTAAATTGTATTCTTGAATCATTTTATATAAAATATGACTTATCTCCCGCTCATAGCGGCTTTAGTTTTTGGCTTGGGAAAAATTGTTTTTCTTAGGAAACATTTTTTTTTACTAACTGAAAAGCTACTATTTTATCTCCTTCTTGAAATTTATCAAATCCTTTCAGAACAATTCCGCATTCTTGACCGCTTATTACCTCGGCTTTGCTTTCGTTTTTACTTTCTAAACTTTTAATTTCGCCGACAAAAACTTTCTTTTCTTCCTTTCCTTGCAGAACATAAACCCGTTTATTACGGCTAATTTTGCCACTGACTACTTGGCAGCCCGCAATGTTGCCTTTGGAAAATTCAAAAACTACTCTTACTAGTGCTGTTCCCACTACCTCTTCCACTTCTTCTACCTCTTGTTGACTACTAATAATTTCGTCTAACTTTTCACTAATTTCATAGATAATTTTACTGCTGAAAAAAGGGATATTATTTTCTTTCAAAGTTTTTATCTGAATTGGGGAGAGGAGACCAAAAGTTAGAACTGTACTATTGGTAACTTTGGTTAAATCAAGGGCAAAATTATTTAAATTTCCGACTGTGGCATAAATGATGGAAAAATTGAAATCGGAGGTAGTTTGTTTTTTTATCAGTTCAATCAGGGCTTCCAGGCTGTTTTGACTATCAGCTGTCAGAACTAAATTAACATTTTTTTTCTCACTAGGCGGAGGAATGATTGATTTTTTCTTTTTTTCTCAATAATTA